GGAGGGGGGGACTCTACCTAACAAAGGTCCTTTCTTACAAGTGAACACTGACGAATATACCTGCTTGTCCATTTGCGAGTCTCATCTTTTTATAATACACACTTTTCACACTTTTATTCTACATATAAAAAATTCAACAACAAAAATAATAAACCAAAATATAATTTATAATTTATACCGCCAAGATGTACATCGATATGCGATGTTTATTTTTACATCAATTTTCATCCACAACATTGCGAAGCGATGGAAACCTTTTATCGTATGTAAATAAATATATAATTATAAAAGAAAGTTTATATTGTACAAAATATTCTTGACAAAATAACACATGTACATTGCATGAGAAATATAATCAGTTCATGACTTTAAAACTGTTTTTTATTTCGTATTGCGTTCAAACATCCCGAAATGTCCTTATTTTTACATAGAAAAACAAAATAAATTTAAAAAAATAAATAATGATTAATGTAGTGTCTTTTATATATCCAAAATTGAAAAAAAAAAAAAAGCGAAGCAGTCGTCGGCGGGACTCGAACGCACGCCGCCGGCGCAAAAATGTATGGACGGGAGCCTTAGTCGGCTCAGCTACGCCGCTTACTCGAAAAAGATTCTAATGTTCTTCTTTACATGGGACATAGTTGCGTGACCCTAACTTTGTTTTGTAATTTCTCCTAAACGAAGGCCCATTGGCACAAACGCCTTTAGGGTTTTTATTAGCTACATGTAAGCTATCGAACGCACTATGACTTGTTGGAAAAGCGATTTCCTAATTGGCGTCATCTCCTTGTTAGTATGATATTTCTATAAGGGTAGGGTGTAAAGAGATTTATTTACTGATATTATTAGTTTGATCTTGGTTGGAATCGCCAAAGTCAGGACAAAGTCACCTTGAATTTTTTAAATAAAACTCCTTCATTTTTTATTACATATCTTTATAGCTTACTTTGAGAGCTTTTCAAAACATTATAATAATATATTTTTTCACTAAGTTCTTTTTAAGTATTTATTAAATTATTATAGTATCTTGAAAAGCTCTCGAGATAAGTTACAAAAATATATAAAGAGTACAAGGTTCTATTTAAAAAAATCAACGTGATCTTGAAATAGCTTTGACAATAGCCGCGAAGATTAAAGTCAAGGTCACTTTTAGATGTCTCCCTTGGAACCTACTTGTTATTTATTTTGTTATTTTTATTTAGCAATTTTTGTCTGAAATATTTTTGATATTTTGCTTAGTTTACGAGATAATTGCCTGTACTGATTAAAATGGCACACTCTGTATATTTGTATTTACGGAATTGGTTCGATAAACTTACCGTTAATGATAAAACACATCTTTAGAATTTCTGGGTAATTCGCCTCGTACATTTGGATAAGTATAAGAACCAATTCACCTGCTGTAAGAAATTATATACACATATAGTAAATTAGTAATAATGAAAAAGATATGAATAAAAAATATCACGCATATAAAATAATAGCAGTTTCTGAGGTACATTTGGTTTTATACAAATACCTGGTTTCCACAAGTATTGCTTCAAATTAAATCCCTCCATATCAAAGATAACCGTTAGTTGATTAGCGACTTGTCCATGCTGTTTGGCTTGTTCTCTGGCTAATTTCATATACTGATCCAAAATCTTTATTGTAAATTTGATGAAATCTTTCTGTGTTGTTACGTGTAATATTCCGTACATATCTAAGCCGGCAAACGGTACGACGATAACTGCAAAAGTATTCATGTACACGCACCGGCGTTAATGCCGTCCGAATATCCGTCTGACTCGCACACGATAACGCGTCACTCATACACTGCTGCGTGTAGGTGAGCCATGAGCAGCACGGAGTGGTGGAGGGAGCTAGCGGTATACGATCGTCGGACGCTTGGAGAGGGAATAGTGGTGGGAGTCGCGGCGATCTTCCATCCTCTATCGCAAATGTAAGAACGAGAGAAATAGCATTATAAGACGTCTGAACAGAAATGCCGTCCTAAAATACGTGTGACACACACTAAGAAAACGCTTGACTCACACTGTCTCGTCTATACGTGAGCAATACGCGGTGTCCCGACGACTGTTTCGCTCGCTCGAACGTTCATGCATTTTTCATTGTTAGCAAGGAAATTACTGTAATGTAAAAATCTTGGGGAAAGGTTTTTAGGAGGCTTTGACAAATGCTTCTTAATAGCTACTCTTGAAAAAAAAATAAATATTAGATTTATTTTAATATAGAATTCTGAACCAACATAGAATATGTTGCAACAATATAACG